CCGGGTGATCCTCCTCTCATCCAGAGCGCCAACAAACAGAATATCCGACAGCTGGAGAAGGAGCTGACAAGGAATTGGAAAGACCTTGTGGGCGGGTACTTTCGCCGTTTCAAGCCTGCCTATTTTTCCATCTACAGCGGCTATCAGAAGTCGGGCGAGGAATCGGATCCCATGAGACAAGCGGGTGAAGATATCAACTGTGGCGTCGGGATCGAAGAGGTCATGACCTATGCGTTTCTCAAAGCCGATTACGATTTCGTGGCGGCTCAAGCAGCAAAGAATTCTGAAAGTGCCGACAACACGAGAGCCGAAAGGCCACTGAACGAGGGGGACATTCTGGGTGAACCTAGCAAGGTTGCAGCACACATCGGTGGACCTAACAGGTTTAGAGGTGGAAGCACCTGCAGCGTGGCCATGGTGTCGACACCCTCCCCTACACCATTTTGGAATCCGGCGACCACATCTACGATCCTGGTGGCTCACGTTGGAGACACCAGGATCGTCCTATGCTCTACAGTGACAGGGGAAGCAATACCCCTGACCACAAACCATCATCCCTCGTCGCCAGTGGAGAGCAACAGACTTAGAAGGTACGCAGCGTCATTTGTGACCGACTCCTTTGGCGAAGAACGGATCTTGGGCCTTGCCAATACTCGAGCATTCGGAGACATCTCTTCGAAGCGGATCGGCGTGAGCGCAGAACCCGAGATCAAGAGAGTCGAATTAGGACCAGCCGAGTATTCCTTCATGGTCCTGATGTCGGACGGCGTGTCTGGCACACTGGATGACCAGGAAGTCGTGGACATTGTCAAAGAAGCCAAAACCCCCGAGCAGGCCGCGCGAGACGTGGTCAATTTCGCTACGGAGGTGACTACCGACGGGGACAATGCCACTTGCCTTGTAGTCAGGATGGGTGGATGGGAGCGGCGACAAGAAGGAGGCAATGGAAGCCTGGGGACCAAGGAGATGCGGGACTTCAAGAGACAACAGGCTGCCGATCCCAGGAGTCGACAGCAATAGAAGGATGGATGGAAGCCCTGTAGGCAGACTATTGATTGATTTGGTGTAAATATCTATCGAGGCGATGTACATTGTCGAGATGCTGACAAGCAACTACATCCACATTAACCATTGGGTCATCCGAGCTGTAGTCCGTATTCATTGTCCACCAAGGGGAGAAGAAGAAAGCCGGCGCTGACATTGATTCGTCCGTATTCGCATCACTCCATCCGCGGTTCCGGAAGCCACAGCGACCAAAGAGACGGGGATCTGAAATGCAGTGCTCAACACGAAATAACTTAATGTCCTTCCTCCGGCCCGCCTTCTTTCCGAGGGTGTTCTTGTGTTAATCTGTCTTTGTTCATTGATCCTAATTCGTGTGTCTGTCCATCTGTCCGCTGAATCCGCGAGTTGATCACTCCGAGAATCCACTGGAGAGCGAGCCAGCGAGCGAGAGAGAGACAAACGCGACTTTGGGGCCCATCCCGCGCCCGCCCGCAGCAGAAGCAACCGTCTCTTCGATAGAGGCCTCCTTATCAGACGGGCTTGTCTCATTGCTGCTTTCTTCTTCCTAGACCTGATCGAGCAGGTGTTCACGAGACTCAACGTTCTTTCCTCCTTGCTCCAGCGTCTCCCTGCCGAGATCCCCCTCTCAAGAACGCACAATTGTCTGCTGCAGAGCCCGAACCTATCATGGGACAAATGGACGAAGTCGCGGAAGCGAACGGCCATGCTGTGGGTGTCAATGGGCACGCAAAGGCAAATGGCAACGTCTCAAAGAGAAGGAAAGTGGAAGAGGACATGTACGAGGACGAGAACATCTTTCTCTTCATCCCCAACATTATCGGTATGGACTATACACATTGAACAGAGATCTCCCTGCACCATGTCTCTGGTGAGAACCAAGGTCTGACCAAACCTGCTGCTGCGATAGGTTATGCCCGAATCATCCTCGCCATCGCCTCTCTATACTACATGCCCTTGCACCCTCGCACCTGCTCCGGCCTGTACAGTTTCTCCTGCATTCTCGACGCCGCAGACGGCCTTGCTGCGCGCCGATATAACCAGTCCACAACCTTCGGCGCGGTGCTGGACATGGTGACAGACCGCTGCACTACCTCTTGTTTGCTTGTTTTCCTCGCCTCCGCGTTTCCCAGATGGTCGATTTTGTTTCAGGGACTGATCAGTCTTGATTTGGCGAGTCACTATGTCCACATGTATGCGACCTTGACCATGGGCGGGCAGAGTCATAAGAAAGTCGAGGCGAGTCGGAGCTGGATTTTGCACTTGTATTACACGAATAAGGTGCGTATCTGGGGGCAATTAGGTTTCGGTCTCAACTGTGATGACTGACTAATGGCGGTTGGGATGCGACAGGTCGTGCTCTTCATGTTCTGCGCCCTCAACGAACTGTTCTTCATCGCACTCTACCTGCTCTCCTTCTCCTCCCCTCTCTTGTCCCCCTCCCTCCTAGTCACCAGCGAGAACGGCATGTCATCCACCCAACCCGGGTCACCCGCACATCCCAAACCGAGCGCCATCTTCGTCAATCCTTGGAGCGCAGGCGCAATGGAAATGGCCCGCGCAAACAAGATGGATAGCACCATTCCGTGGATCTTGGCAGGAATCAGTTTCCCCGTCATGTTTGGGAAGCAGATAATTAATGTCATTCAACTGGTGAAGGCCAGTAAGTGGTTGGGCGAGGGAGATGTGGCGGCGAGGAGAAAGGCGGGGATCACAAAACTGAAGAAGAAGAGGGTGTAAAAGATGGCCCTAGACATCCTGCAGAACGAAACTTTGCTGTGGGCTATGTCCGAGCGGCTTCGTATGCCCAATCCGCCGCTGGAACTGCTCGGGCAGATGGGAGGGGCAACTTGAGGACGGTGGCCACCGTATTTGGTAGATGGAGCCACACACGACAGGCCATCCAGCGTCAACGAATGTCATCGGACGGACTGTTGTGTTTGAGAGGCCGCGTTAGAGTCGCGAGACCGGCAAATGTCGCCCGGCTCCCACGAGAGCCTGGTGGGAAAGCAGCAGAGGAGGATTTCAATTTTGGCGCCATCAATCATTTCAGCAAGACAGGGCATGACGGGCGACCGAGGCGGACATGGATCATGGCGAACGGACCAGATTCGGGATTTCAGCGGCCGAGATAGGATACGGACATTGGCGCGAGAGGGGTGAGGTGCGATGTCTCATCCCCGTCTTTCTCAAGTGATCTTCTGGGTCAAAGTCTGGTAAATGGGATGGAGCAGATGGGATTGAGTTCTCACGGTCGAGAAATGTACATGTCAGATTACCTTTGCACTGTTATGTATATTTTGGTATCACTACATATTCGCCGAAAAATAAACATAATAGGCACATCGATTTCCCATCCCACCACATATTGTCCTCGTAGCACTGTTGACAAGGTGATCGGACGTCGGTCATATATATATGGACCATTCGCTTACGTATCTAACTACTTTGTGTATGGCCACGAGTAATACTCAGCGGGAGCATATATATATATATCGCTGCAGAAAACCAATATAAGCACCTGTCTTCCATCTCTCTCGCCAGTCCTCTGTTCTTTTGAAAGTCGCGCTGTTTACCTCGCTAACCTTGTTAACCAAATTAACTCGGTACGTAGGCTTTTTTCTCCACTGGCGAGTAGGGCATGCGCCGACGCCGATCCCCCGCACTTCACATTTACATTTCGTAACTAACTGATCCTAATAGTGTAGATCGAAATATGGTGTATATATATATTGTTACAGAGCACTTCAGGGTTCGGCGTGCACGTGCAACAACGCACAGAGGCCTGTCCAGTAGATCGGGAATCGAGAACGCATTTCTGCTTGATACTGACAAAACAACACACCACAAACACCACCCAGAGGGATAGCGGCTAGGGCTACGAACACCTAGCACGGCGGCCGCATCGAGCAACAGAACTGGACTGATAAAACACTCAAAAATAGACTGACGGCGTCAAAACCATTGAATTCCTCGTACTCTCTCAAAACTGTAAAAGGATGGCACACTGCCAGCACTGTAAACTGTCCTGCTCCCAGCGATCCAATTAGGTTTAACATGTGACCTGACAGACCTCTGCACAGCCACCCTGCCTTGTTACAATATATATATCGAATGCTTACTTTTTATTTTCTTCTAGGACTCTTTATAGATTTATTTCTATTGCGTCGTATAAAATTGATCACCTAGGGAGGGGGAAAGGGAAAACAGCAAAAACTTAGCGTCAGACCGTGCCTGGGACATGGTCACATTGCTGAGAAACTGATCCCCATCTACTGTTTTACACGGCGCCCACAACAGTAGGTCAAGGCCGTTCTTTCCGAGGGGGGTTTGTGTTAATGTCTCAATCCGGCGGAAGAGAGAGAATGAAACTCGTCGGTTTCGAACTCAGAGCCGGTCCCTCAGTGTCTTTTAATCTCTGTATTCGTCTGCATATGTCCCAGTGCTGGGACGTCTGCGGAGTATCATAGGGTGAGACGGTCTTTGTAGCCTCAGTGGCCCTTCCGAGTTCTTTTGTACCTGGTCAAGGGTACATCCCTCGAAGTGCCGACCAGAAGTGGGCGGATGCATCTTATATACTACCTTTTGCGCATTCTCAAGGGTCATCAGCGTGGCGCATGGATGTGAGGTGACATCGACGTGAAGGGAGGACTCCCGGAGGAGGCGCCCGCTTGAACAGGTGCCAGTGAAGATCCTGTCGACCTGATCGCTAAGACGGGTACTTCGCCTTCTTTGGGTTCGTCGAGAGAACACTTTTAACTCCGCTCATCCACTGACGGTCGATTCTCTTTGAGTCTGTGTTCGAACTCGATTTCACGCGACAATTCTCTGTACCACGCCGTCGATACCCCGGAACAAGGTGAGTCCCAGTGAGTATGTGTTCTCGAAAGCGTGTCTGACTGGTGTTGGCTGTTTTCTAACCGGTAGCGGGAGCCACATTCCCTTCTCTTGCGCATCCGAGTAAGATACCAGTCTCGATGCGGGAGAGTGAGCCTCCTTTCTGGAACCGTGAGGAGATCTCGCGCGGACGAACGCAGATCCCAAAGTGCCTTGCTGGTCAGCCGCGGTCGAGAGAGCAAGGGGGCAAGGCGAGGGAAGAACTTGAGGTCACACGATACATCGTCGACGACGAGTGGTTTGCTAGAAACTTTGACGTTGAGAAAGACGAGGGCGACAACAGGACGAGATGTTTGTGCGGAGAAAAGATCCAAAGACAGCAGAGCCGCTACACACTGAGCTCCGAGGATATGAAGATGGATGCCTACCCTCCTTACCTCAAGGTATCCGGGGCCGAGACCATGCTGGCGAAAGGTAGCACATCTCAGTTCATCATGCAGCTGCATGAGGGGGCTCTTCTGCCGACAACATTGCAGGTACATTAACCACACAATTCCAGACGGAAAGCTACTCTCCTGCCGAGGTAGAATCCATTATCCAACATTGCACCAGGCTGGGCCTCAACTCGAGATCACCGTCTGCTGCGCCAAGCTGGGAGAGCGAAGCGATTGAGGGTTGGTGGTTTGTCGAGGACAGTTACTGCGAAGCTCTGCGAAGGCGACGCCCCGTGGGACAGGATATCTGCGGGTATGACTGCGAAGATGGTTGGTGGAGGGACAGGCAGCCGGAGGAGCATCGAGACTGGGAGAGATGGGGTTGTCGTGAACTTGGCCCAGAGCGTTGGAGAGAGGAGAGTAGTGTCGCCCATATCATTTCTATGTACAATGCATGGATTCCAGGTCCCGCGCGCCGAGGGAGATGATTCAAACCGCACATAATGGCAAGAGGATCGCGAGGCTGGAAACCAAGGAGACATATTGACGAACCGATGGTTCGGCCTTCGAAAACGTATCGTTTTGATCGATGGAGGGACAAACCACCTCCCCGACTGCCCATCGTGGCCGATGTTACTCGCCGCAAGCTTCCCTTTCCCATCTCTTTGGCCCTAATCGAGAGAGCATGTATCTTCTGTTCCGGGGAAAGGGTACCAATGTCAGCATGATGATAACTCAAAATCCTTCGTTCCTAACAACTTCCGGACAATTCAAGACATTCTCCAGTGGCAGGGCCATAGGCTCATAGCAGGAGCCACAGCGCTCACAGGCCAGTCCTGATTGGATGTGGTGTTAACCAACGCTGAAATGCTTATGGACATCTGCAGGCTAAATAGACCAACTGACTATTTATGAGACTTTGGGACTTTCAAGCCCGACTATGGGATGACGCAGAGAGCCATGGTGCGAAGCGGAGAGCTGCTGCGGAAATCCCTTGGAACGCAGAAATGAGCGAGGGGTCTGACAGGTCGTCTAGATCGCGCTTTGCTGAGATCTTACTTGCTCCGACATCAAGCTGAGAGAAAGTCCCGTGTCAGACGCGGCAGTCCCACTACATCATGATCCGGACTGGTTGACAATTTGGCGACTTGGCGTGAGCTGGATATCCGCAAGGACACAAAGCGTAATACCCATGTAGGAGGGAGGGGAGGATGATGGATGGCGGAGTCGGGTGGAGGGTGAAGGGTGGAAGAGGGACAGAAGCAGGCGGCCCACTCGCCCATCCTGCCCATCTTGCCCACCTGCCCACCTGCTGAGTATACACCCCATCCACCCACCCACCCTCCACCCTTTACTCCCATCTCTCATTATTCTCGCTCTTCAGCATCTACGGACTTCAAATCCAATCACATCCCTGCTTCCTCAGCCGAAACCACCATCGTCACCCAATCACTCCGATCTCAGATCCATAAAATATTCAGCTCTTCTCATCTTTTGGGAGCACCCTTGAGCACCCAGCGTGCACCCTGCGAACACACACGAGTGAGCGAGACCCTTTTCCCGACTGCCCTCGGTCATGCGCCCGGAGAACCTGCTCTATATCTTGTGATTTTTTCCCTTTGTACCTATCCTCCCATATCATGGACATTTAATCGAAACGGCGTTTTGCTTCGCTGCGCCATTCCACCACTTATTGCGCACCCCCCCAAGAAGGTCCACAGGACAACCCGTGCAACTGGATCATGCGGCGGCGACTCTCAAGATGAATACCACCCATGATATCCGCATGCATGATGCCCACGCGCTCCCGCACGAGCCAACAAAGTCGCCCGCCATTCCTCTTCGCAATCCCATCCACCCCTCCGTGGTTGACAAGCTCGATCCTGTCTTTGTGAAACTATACAACGATTACATCGCGAATGACCCTCCCTCATCCACCGACTTGACGGTGGTGCGCCAGAACTATTCAGCCTTATATTCCTATGCGGCAGCACCGCCATCCGGAGTAGGAGGCATTGGGGAAACACAAGTGCCCGGTTGGAACAAATATCCCGGGGACATCAATGTGCGGGTCTATGTACCACCAGGTGAAGAGCCCGGCCAACGCAAAGTGTGGCCCGTCCATTTCAATTTCCATGGCGGAGGTATATCGGCCCATCCAAAATAATGTTTACGGCTGTCCTTGCTGACACTTCATCTAGGCTGGGCCGTAGGTGACCTCGAGACCGATGCGCACGTCTGCCACCACATCTGCGCCTCTGTTCCTTGCTGCGTGATTGATATCGAATATCGACTGATCCCCGAGTATCCCTTTCCCATCGGGATTATGGACAGTCTCACAGCCGTCGCACACATCTTGGCCAATCACAAAACATTCTCCATCGACTCGACAAATATGACCTTCGGCGGTGAATCTTCTGGCGCCACTATCGCTCTCATCCTCAATCATTTGTTCCGTGACGGAGGTTTCGGCGACAAACTCAAGGGTGTCATAGTTGCGACACCCACCATCAGCGACGTGAGGAAGTATGCAACACCAGATATGAGCCCGTGGCCGAGCATGAGGGAGTCCGAGTTTGCCCCTCTCCTCAACTGGGAGAAGTTGAAATGGTTCGACACATTCAAATGGATGTCTTTGTCCAGCCAGCACCCGGGAACAAAGCCCAAGGAACAGAAGCGAGACATCTCCTGGTTCGCCGATGCGATGAATGCTCCGGAATTCAAGAACCTGGCCCCCTTGACATATGTGGCCACAGCAGAGATCGATCCCCTGAGAGACGAGGCTGAAGCATATGCTAAGAAAGTCGAGGAGGCGGGCAACAAGATCGTCTTGAAGAGGTTCAATGGCATGCCGCATCATTTCATGCATATGGATAGGGCCCTACCTCAAGCCCGAGAATATGTCCAAGATGTCATATCCCACGTTCGGCAGTGTCTCTATCCACCTTCCGAGCCGCCTGTCATGACGACGCCACCGGAAACTTGAAGACGAGATCTCGCGAATCTGCTGGGCGGATTAAAACTTGATGCGCACGCTTTCAGTCACGCCTCCAGCCTATCGCTGTGCGCTGGTCGATCATTACCCAGGGTGTTCCGAAGAGATACCCGTTTTCCGTTGCATCTCCTGCTTCACAAGCATTGTCTCTGCTCGGAGACGGTCCTTCCGTACTGGAGGTGGCAGGGGACTGCCATGTTGCATATTGCCCGTTCCATGGGTTAATTGTCGCTCCACATACTTCCAGATTATACTAGCTGTTGACCCCTGCAGAACCGGCAAAATTGCGGTCAGTGGTTCCTATGAGAAAGAACCTGGGAGATGGCAGGATCGTCGACTCAAAAAAAACAAGGAAGTTCAGTTCATGGGCTCTGTCTCTCCGGAAAGGCCGACCTGCTGGATGACTGCTTCGTCCGACGCCTCCTCCAGACCCGCCTTGCCGCGGCGGAGGTCAAGCGATTTCCGCTCCGAGTTGAGGGTTGAGACAGGAAATTAGCTCCGACCAGATTTCGTGAACAGGCCAGCAGACAGTCATAGCTGTGACCAGTCACCATTTGGCACACCCAGCGAGCCCATGCCAGACAAGATGGAAATCCGCAAACTGCAGCTCCCTCCTGCGTTTCATCCCAGAAAAGCCAACTGCTTGAGAACGAAGACGCTTTTTTGGTGTAGGTTCAGTCATGTGTGCACATGGCATATGGGTTGGAATCTGTTCGGACCCAACAGTCTTATGTTCGAACAAGAAGCTAGATTTTCCTTCGGCATACTGTATTAACGTCCATATTGGCTGTAATTGGGCTCTGTCGCACTTCTTCTCTTTATCAGTCTGTGTATTCCCTCGTGTGGTAGATGCCCGCCGTCATCGGTTGACTTGAGTTCTCCTTGCATTCGAGCCCTCCATCTCCAGCGCCAGCACTCAGTCGGCAAAATGCGGGGTTTTCAGTGGGACCCGGTTCAACTTCGGAAGATGTAGAGACGACACGCCGAGACGCGTCGAACGCGTCCAGCGCGTCTCAAATTGCACGAACAGATAATTGCAAACTTCATGTCCATGGCTCCCAGTCACCGCCAACTGTGAGTGAGCGAGCATTGTTTCGACATACACGGTCAAGATGCCAGAAAGACCTCCGTTTCCGGGCCGTCCTGCCCAACCCCCAGGCCATACCTACCTTCAATACTCTCCCGATGGTCAGAGGTTGACCGTGGCAGGCATTGGAGACTTTGCTCGTTCCTTTAGGACCAACGACAATGGCGAACCGGATTTACTGCCCTCGACTCATGCAGAGACATTTGCTGTTGCTTCAGGAGTATGGGCACCGCTTGGGGAAAAGAATTTGGCGAGATGCAGCCGGCTGACGTGGAGCAGAACGACTACGCGATTTTCGGCTGCGAAGATGGTACAGTCTGCGAATACGCTGTCCCTTCCGGAGACTTCAAGCAGATGCTCCTCAGAACCACCCTTCCCATCAGGGATGTTGTGCTCTCCCCAGATGAGGAATGGGTGGCAGTTTCTAGCGAGTAGGTCAATATTCTTTGGTGCCATGTAACCGTCTCTGACTACCCTAGCGAGCTTGAAATTAAGGTCGTCAACCGAAACGATATCGAGCGAATGACCATACTTCGTGATCACCCAAAGCCGATAAAACATGTGGCATACGACCATTCTGGGAGATATCTCGCCGCATCCTGCACCGATGGCGTTATCTACATTTACGACATGACCTCCTCCGAGCCCAGGTTATTCCGAACGATCGACGGGGTCATCCCTCGACTCGAGACAGCCGAAACAGCCACTTCCCGCTGTGTTTGGCATCCTGATGGAAGGGCTTTTGCCTGCGCAACAGCAACAAGAGATATTCAAGTAGTCTCGGTCGAGGACGGTGCACATCAAAGGACATTCTCGGGCGAGCACACTGCCGAGATAACATCGCTGGCATGGTCACCAAATGGTGCCTTGCTGGCCTCGTCAGACTCGGATTGTCTCATCATCTGGGACACGAAAACACAAAAGCCGCTGAAGCGTTTCAACTACACGAATATCCTTAACGTTGCGTGGCAGAACCACGGCGAGAATATCTTTAACTGGACGACATCCAACGGTGAAGTCTTCATCATC